CTGATGCATCTCACTCGATGCATAACAGATAACTTCGTATCATCCCCTGGCCTATGGCCAGACTTAGACCAAAAATCTGGTTTTTAAGTTTATCTTTCATTTGCTGTTGGTGGGTTTCTCCCAGTCCTTCAATTCAGTAACACTCAAACGCTGCCGAACTCAAACCATGGAATCCCAGAGTGGTTTGGGTTGGAAGGGACCTTAAAGCTCATCCAGTTCCAACCCTGTGGCGGGCAGGGACACTTTCCACTGGAGCAGGTTGCTCCAAGCCCCTGTGTCCAACCTGCCCTTGAACAGTGCCAGGGATGGGGCAGCCACAGCTTCTCTGGGCACCCTGTGCCAGCGCCTCAGCACCCTCACAGGGAAGAGCTTCTTTTATGCATTTAATAATATATATATATATGCCCATATATATGTAGGTAAAATATAAAGCAGCAAGCAGGTCTGTGTTTCTTTTCCAGTAAGAAAAGGAGAGATGGGTGCATTACACCTATCCCTTGCTGCACGGCAACACTCACCCTGCCCAAACCTGAGAGCTCACCATCCCTCCCTCCTCCTCCGTCTCATTTTACAGCTTCTTCACCTTCACTGCAAAGCAATGCTGACATTATTCCTGCAGATACTGAGATCAGTTATTTTCTTGCACAAGGATATCAAATAGGTGCTAAAATATCCAGTAATAAAACCCTGTGAGACTTCTGGACTGTACCATTAATTTGGTGGTGGATGGATCTCGCCAGATGGATCAGTTTGAGAGCAGAATTCAAGGCACCATGAACTTCTGCTCACGCCAGCACTGCCAGATCTGGGGCATACATTTTAAAGTATGAGTGGAATTTATAAGCATACAATTTTCCTTCTGACATTTTAACAAGAAACAGAAGAAATACTGAGGGGGAAAAATGAGTCTGAATGTCTTTTCTTCTAACCTTTCTATAGGGGCAGTGTTCTTTTTAGAGTTTAAGCTTAACCCAGAAGAGGTTCTACTTAAACAACTCACCACTTCACTGCTGTCTGAAACTTTCCAACTCTATCTGCAGATGCTAACAAAGTCATTCTCTCATCTCACACTGAGGTCTCATCTATACAGACACTGAATTTTACCCAGTTACTGTTACTCACACTGCTGAGTTTGAGCAGAGTTAAGTACTACTAAAATATGTGTTTGTGGGGTTGAGAACTACATCTTTCTTTACTATAAACACTCAAGTATTTTCTTCTAATTTTAAAGCCAAGCTAGGATATCAAGGCTATGTTGGACAGGGCAACATGCTCTAGTGAGAGGTGTCCCTGCCCATAGCAGGGGGGTTGGAACTGGATGATCTTAAGGTCCTTTCCAACCCAAACTATTCTGTGATTCTGCGATTTCCATCATTTAATTAGGCTGTAGTGATTAAACCATGGTGGTGCTTCAGCAAAGTTAACACCACTGTATTTTCTCTCTAACAAGCTACAGGGATCCAAACAGTCTCCTGAAACACCTTCATGTTTGCTAATAATTACTATTTTCTGTGGCTAAATTTAGGATTAATATAGAACTGCATCCAGAGGAGGCCACAAAGATGCTTGTAGGGCTGGAGCATCTCTGCTATGGAGACAGGCTGAGAGAGATGGCCTTGGGCAGCCTGGAGAATGCTCTGGAGAGACCTTAGGGTAGCTCCTAAGAAACCTGGAGAGGGGCTTTGGACAAGGGCTTGTAGGGACGGGACAAGGGGAATGGCTTGAACCTGCCAGAGGGGAGACTGAGATGAGCTTTTAGGCAGAAGCTCTTCCCTGTGAGGGTGCTGAGGCGCTGGCACAGGGTGCCCAGAGAAGCTGTGGCTGCCCCATCCCTGGCAGTGTTCAAGGCCAGGTTGGACACAGGGGCTTGGAGCAAGCTGCTCTAGTGGAAGGGGTCCCTGCCCGTGGAAGGGGGGTGGAACTGGATGAGCGTTAAGGTCCCTTCCAACCCGAACCATTCTATGGTTCTGTGAATGTTTTTAAGAAGACTTCTCTGTATTTAAATCTAGCGTACCTGGCTGCTGCCTCTTTCTTCCCATCTTCCAGTGTTCTCCAATGGATATGATCTCCAAAACCTGCCAGAGAGAAGGGTTTATAAATGCCGCACAATTTACCGTGTCAACCAACAGAGGAAATCACTCCAACCCTTAAGAATATTTCCAACTCATTTTATGTGTTATTCTTAAAGCCAGCTGTACTCCCAGTCCTGGAAACACTTCTGCAATTACTTATAACCTACATAGGCTTATGAGGAATCCCACTGAAACTAATTAGCAACAACATACCACCCTCATGAATATTTGATATACATGCAAACGACACCAAAATCCCTTAAGCAGAGATGAATAGTGAAGGGCCTTCTGATTATTCCCCATTCTTTTTCAGACTGTGAACACATTAACTGATTAGTGACACATTAAACATGTCAGCATGTGCCCTCCAAACTCCCACTGAACGTGAAGTAAAGGAAGACTTAAAAATTCCTAGGCCAACATATGATCATCAATCGTTCTGAAACTATGGTGCTAAGTATTAGTGATGATGATCTCATCCAAGAGTAAGGAAGAACACCAGTACACAGGTGTCTGTTACAGTGATGGAATGATGCAGGGAATATTTTATCCCCTTTCCAGATAACAAATCTGTTGTGTCAGTTGAGATAATGGTGAATGAGTGTACATTTGACAACTGCAATACAGGGGCCACCAGGGTTTTTGATCCCACAGCCAGCACAACACATGGCCAAAAGCCGCATGTAGAGCTGGGACAAAGTTCTTCACATGGGACTCCCCTGGACGACCTCCTCAGAGGTCTCACAGCTCCTATAATGCAGGGCAATGCTGGACAACCAAACATTAGCCTTGGCTTTCCCCTTCCCATCACTGAGGGTTTGGATTAGTCAGCAAACCCCAGTACTCAGGGGGTAGATTTTGGGAGCTACATAGGGGTCAGGAACCACAGACTGCCCGATGCTGACACAGTGGAAAGTGAACATCGTGTCCAGTAGACAACTATGGCAAAGAAGCAGGAGAAAGCCAAAAGCAGGGTGAGCAAAACCTCGTGGCACCTTAGCTCAGCATCCGGGAGGCTTGAACAGTTGGCACAGGATTTTTATTACCTTATCTTACACCTGCTAGGAACGCCTGTGAACATACATGATGCAACACAGCAAATATTGAGTTGTGCCAGCAGTGAGGCGGGGATGCCTTGTTCATGTCCAATCACACGTACCAACTGCAGAGGCAGCTTCGGACACCAGGCTATGTTTGCACCCGTGGAACGCAGCAGAGCAAAAACCAGCTGCATTAGCAAAAGTCACGTTTACTCAGAGTATTGACAAGTCAGCTGTTTCACCCAAAGGCCAACACGCTCCCTGTGAGGGTGCTAAGGCGCTGGCACAGGGTGCCCAGAGAAGCTGTGGCTGCCCCATCCCTGGCAGTGTTCAAGGCCAGGTTGGACACAGGGGCTTGGAGCAACCTGCTCCAGTGGAAGGTGTCCCTGCCCATGGCAGGGGGCTGGAACTGGATGAGCTTTAAGGTCCCTTCCAACCCAAACCAGTCTGGGATTCTATGTTAGACCAGGGAAAACCTATTGTTCTATCTAGGAAACACTTTTTGAAAGCTTTTCTTTTTGCTATTTTTAAACTAAAATACGCTTTGTGGCGAGCTTCAGCACGTTTTTAAAAGCACTACACATCACATTAAGGAGTTTCTTTTGAATGAAACTCATCTGAGGCGTTAAAAGGGAACGGCTGAGATCGCCACCACAAGGTTTTGCTCTCATTGATCGAACTGTGCTCCTACCAGCCCTGAAGAGATGGATTTATCTCCAAGACAGTCTAAAGCCACTACCCGGGGTGAAGCTCAGCACCCTGGCACACCTTCCTGCACCAGCTATTAGACATGGTAATTACACAGGGAGGCCTCGGCGAGCCAGCGGCGAGGAGAGGAGAGGTCACGAAGGAAAAGGGAAGCCGAGGGCGGGAGGGCAGAGCCATTCATCGCCTGCCAGGAGCCGGCGGCAGCGGCCGGCAGCGCCTGGGCTGTGCTGACCGGGACGGGTGGCACTGAGGGGCTGCTCCTCCTGTCGCCTCACCGCGGAAAAGCGGGACCCCTCCAAAGGGAAACTCCTCGGGAATAGAACCCCAACGGCAAAGATCGCGACAGGACCCCACCGTCTTCAAAGTCTCCCCGTACACTGCCAGGCCGGCAAGTCCCCACCACCAGCACGACCCCGCGTCCCCCCCGGTCCAGCCCGTCCCGGCGCACCCTGACAGGAGCGGAGAGGAAAACCCGAATAAAACGTATGTCTGACCCTTGCCGAGCCCCTCCGCGGCGGAGGCGGCGCAGGCCGCCAGCACCAGGCAGAGGCAGAAGATGGAGGCTGCGGCGGGCTGAGCCTTCATGGTGTCGGCGCGGGCAGCGGTCCGGCCCCCAACCTTTCCAGGCAGCACCGCACGGATAAGGTGGATTTTTATCTCTCTTCTCTTTTTTCCCTTTTTTTAAAGCCCAGGAAGTGATGTGAGGCGGATGTGGGCGGTGCGATGCCCTGCCGTCTGCTCGGGGATGGCAGGGCAGGCTGGAAGGGGTATCTGATACTGGGGAGTGGGATCTCTCAGTCCTCTGAGGGGTGTCCGCCGTTTCTGTCTCGGACAGAGGAGCTCGGCTTCGCGCAGGCAGCCCAAGGCGCTGGGGCGGGAGTACCTCAGGCACATCGGGACCCCACAGCCGCGGTTATCCCCCTGGGAGCGGGCAGCGAGGGGCGGGCTCCGGGTTTACGTTCTCCTCCCAGATACATCCTTTCGTCCCGCTACTCTCCAGAGCTGCCCAGCCAGTTGGGGCGGTAAAACCGACCGCAAGCACTTGTGTATGAAGGAGGGCGCGCCCGGAACCACCACGTCCCGGCCCGACGGGCTGTGGGCCGGTGCAGGTCCGCAGGGACTCCGAGTCCCAGAACACACCGCAAGCACTGCGCACGCCTTCCCGCCCTATATGCAAATAGACCTCCGTGCCGTGGCCAATCCTCGGACGCGCTGGCGTTGTCACGTGGCGTGGAGCTTCCTTTCTCTGTGCGCCTCTCTTTCCTTCTTTGGCCGCCATCTTGTTCCCACCTCGTGTTGGGCTGCGGAGGCTCCGTCGGACTCAGGTCAGACCTTCCCGCGCCCGCCCCCCCCCCGCTCCGCCGGCGCTGCCCCCGCTCCCTTCCCCTGCCGCCTCCCGGCTTGGAGCAGACGGGGCGCCGCGGCGGCTCGGTCCCCTGCCCCATTGCATCCTTGCCCGCCGCGCTGGGCCGTGACTGGGCCCGCGTGTGCCGGCTGCTCAGCGAGGAGAGGGTGGGGAGTGAGGCCTGGCGCCGGGATGCAGCATGGTGGTGGCTGCCTTTATCTCGGGTGGACCGCGGCTCTCCCCTGGGGCGGCGGTGCCGCGGTCGGGCGGGTGGCATTTGCTCATAGGGACGGGGCCTTCATCGCCTCCCGCTCCCTGCGCTTTGGGGGCGGCCAGCGAGCTGCCCTGCCGGACCCAGCCCCTTCTCCCGCCGCCCCGGCGGAGTCCCATCGTGTGCTGATACCCCTCGGCCGTGCTGCGGCCTCGCTGGGCCCTCCCCCCATCGCTTCCCAGGCACAATGCACATGCAGGGAGGCTTTTTCTTTCATCGATGGGATCACTAGTGATTTACTGGGGCAGAGCAGCGAAATACCCTTGTTTTGTTGGAAGCCTTAAGGTGTTTCCTACCGGTTACAGATTTTCAAGTCGTTTAGATTTAAAGGTCCTATCTGACCCATTGAATAAGCCACTTAGTCGGCCAGCTTCCCAGTCATTGAACTGGGTGAGTAGCAGCCTGGGGTTCATATAGGAAACCTGCGAAGGTGTGACCTTCGTCCAGAGCTGGCTTATTACCTAAAAAATGTTAGAGATTCATTATTTGGAGATAGTATCCAAAACAGCGTAATGATGAGTCTGTTATGAATAAAGATGTTTAAGGAGTGGTTGTGCTTTATGTGTTCTTTTGGGTCTGTTCTGAGTCAGTAGTTAAGTCAAATGGTTCCAGCAGTAAACTGACATGCTTGGAAATGTACAGCTACTCCTGCAGACTGATGCAGAATGAAACGTGCTGCTGTTTTGCCTTATCGTGGTACAGACGGTTCAGCTAAACATACTGCTGCTGGGCCCCTGTGTGTTATTTAGGTGATGTGGTGGTAAAGCTTATTGTTTATGTGTATTAGTTTGATGGCCTGTTTTAGTGAAGTTTAGAACCCTTCTGCAAGTCAGAGTGCTTTTAAAATGGATTATTCATGTTTTTTTCTTAATATTTTGATGGCTAACCTGTATCTCGTTCTTATTCTTTAGTCGCAGCACTATGAACCAAGAAAAACTGGCCAAGCTTCAAGCGCAGGTCCGAATAGGAGGAAAGGTAAGAAAACCATCAGACATGAGCTGTTCTCTGTAAGTTACAGGTTGAAGGAGACGCATCTGAAAACCTGTTTTACAGAATGCAGGCTTAAGTTCATAGGAGGCGAGGAATACAGGGGTTTTGCTGTCATCGGGATCATAGTAATGCTACCTGAATTCTGATTTTCCTCGCGTTCACAACTGCTGGATGAGTCGTTTCCAGCACGTAACCTTGCTTTATAATTCAGTGACTTGTTGTGACCTGTGAAAACTCAAGCTGAGCTTACCTGTTGGTTGTTCCAGTTCTGCCATTCTCATCTCCCTGTCGGGGAGTTTCCTCCCTTTGTGCCAGCTCTGGGGCTTATCTGACTCTGCACTGAGGTTCTTTTCTCTGAGCCAGCAGGTAGCTAATGTGACACACAGACAAAAGCATGTAGTTTGTTCGGTGTGGTGTTCATCTCCTAACCATAGGCGGGGTTGTACAAGTCTTCCAAAATTGCTGTCTATGGAACAAGGTGTTAATTACTGGCTTACAAAAGCATCACCTTTGTAAATCAATGTAGTTGTACTTCATCTTGGGGAGAAAAGAAAAGTTCTTTCTTATAAATTTCTTAATATGTATTGCTTAATAAAAATAATTTCTTTAATACGGCTTGTAGGAAGGAAGAACACTGGTTTGATGGTTTTTTTTGGTCTTTTGCACTTAAGAGGAACGTTAACATTGAGACTGACAACTAAAGCTGTAGGTAAAGGGAAATAAGAGGTTTTGACTACAGAACTTAAAAGTTGCTTAGAGTGTGATACTGTTTTAAAAATCAGTGTTCTGATGTTTCGAGCATAGCTGACTGTTTGTTGTCCCTTCTCTTCCAGGGTACAGCTCGCAGAAAGAAGAAGGTGGTGCACAGAACAGCTACAGCTGATGACAAAAAACTTCAGAGTTCCCTCAAAAAACTGGCAGTAAATAACATTGCTGGCATTGAAGAGGTAGAGTGATAAATATTTCCTGTCTGAAACTACATTCACTGTCTTGTTTTGGTGGTGTCTTTTTAACAACAGTTTTCCTGCAAAAGGTCTGGTTACTGATATGTAAATGAGACTGTTGTCTCATTCATTTTAAGGCATGCATGCCTGGAGAAAGAAGGGATAAGGTTCTGCTGGCCAGATAGGGGTGATAGAAGCCGGTAAGCTGTTTGTCATGTATGCATCTTGCATTCATTGCAAAACAAAACTCTTGATTCTTCACTTCATAAACTTGATTATCTACTCTAGAGAGCGGTAAACACACATGTACTATGCAGGCACATTTAAAGCAAGAGTTATGTGGTGCAGAATATAGAGAAAAGCTGGAGTAAGGACTTGTGAGTCTGTGTTACCAAAATAAGGCCCTTTTACTGCATGAAAATGGCCAGACTTGTTTGCCATGGGCGCAGGAGGTGATGGTTCTTACAACACATCAGACTCTACAGACCCAGCTGCTTCTGTGTTAATGTAATTAGGAACGTAAGTGACTCAGATATTCCTTCAGTATCTCTATCTTGCATGTATAAAACATGAAATGAAACACTGATATTTTCCATAACACTGGTGATGGTGATGCTCATACATGGGAGGAGGAGGTGTTTCTTCATCATGAACTCTATATTACTGTTGCACTTGGTTAAAGAAGCACAATATTTAATCCGTGATTAATTAATTTAAGCAGGATTGCACGGTGCCCTCAGAGGTCACTTAGTGCATACCTGGCTTCCAAAGGCAAATACAGATCCAGTGTAGAAGCCTGGTTTGCCTGTAAGTTTTCATAACTGCTACAGAAACACTTCAGTTTGTGTGTTTCCTTAAGCTTGCTTGATATATGCTGAGTTACACAAACCCAAAGACACAGTTTTTCTCTGTGTGTATTTGGGTGTTTTTTCTCTCATATGGAGGATAAGATCTTCATTCAGACATAGTTGCTAAGCATATTGAATGTCTTGGTGTGCAGGAAGACGATACAACGTTCTTCTGCCTTGATAGCTAGGTACATAATTGCAGTATGTTATATCTAGGTGGACAGAAGTTGACCTTGGAATACTTTGTGTAGATGGAAGAGTTGGGAGAGGCTGGTAATGTCGAGTGAAACATTAGTAACACATCTGTGTGCTTTTTAAGAGACTTCTAAGTAAGAGGATGACCGTGCTTGAAGCCTTTACTGTTTCCCTGTGTGCAAAGGACAGGACATACTTCAGTTCTGCAGGAAAGCAGCACCTGGTTTTCCTGTTCAAAATGTATTTTGAACTCTGCTGCTGTGTGAAGATTGATAACTTGCATGTTTTTGGATTTAGGTCTCTTCTTTAGTTCCCAAATTTCTGTTTTCTTCCTTTTAACTTCTACTAAAACAAATTCTTCAGAGCTTTGTCACATCATTTTATTACTGCTGCTTGGTTAGATGGGCAGAACTCTTCCTTCTTTTTCAGACAGTTATTTTCCACATAACCATTTTTTATGGTTAAAAAGGAAAAACCTTTTTAACATCCCATTCAGTCTCCCTTTAGGTTAAAAAGCATAGCATAGGCCCATGCAAATATGGCTGTTTGACAGTAGGAGCAAAGCAGGCTGCCGTGCTGGCTGCAAAATGTCATTATTGGTGATTCAGAAGACCAGGGAAGAGGAAGAGAGCAGGATCACTGTACAATATTCTTAGTCTTAAGAGAGTCATCCTAGAATTACTGGGCAGGCACAGAAGCTTGTTCTAGTGCAATTGGTACATAAACCTCCAGTTCACTGTGTGTATACGTGCAGGAAGCATCCTTGCCTCGGGCAGCTTCAGCAAGTAGGCCAGAGAGTGAGTCTTGTGCCTTTGCCAATTCTGAAGAAACAATAGTGTTTCCCTGATAGGTGATACAGATAGCTGTGAATGGTGATGACTTGAACTGACATGACAAGGCTGCTCTGGTAGAGTTTTTAGTTTGTAAAGAGTTGCCGAAGAGGTGAAGGCTTTGTGGGTCTTTTTTCTTTCCCTAGACATTCCTGATACTAAGTTGTTTATAGCTTAGAGTCTAATGACCTGTGTATGGGTTTTGCCTTTGTTACAAATGAATTGTGATAACATACAGTCCTTGCATGTTTATTACTTGGTATTTAGATAAGTATATTTTATGAAGGAGCCATAGCTCTTTAAGTTCTACCTTTTGATGTAGTATGTACAAACCCATATTTTACCATTAACTCTTGTCTTACTTCCAGTTCAAGTGGTGTTAACTCCAGATGCTTTTGTCATGGTTATCCTGTAGGAGGAGTGCTAGTCTTGTAAATTCTATTTTAATATTTTAATGGTTTTAAATACAGATTTGAATTAATAATTTCTCGTGCTTGTTCAACAAGCTGCTGCAGCATTTTGGTAAGCTTTGTTAATATATTTAAACAGGTGAACATGATAAAAGATGATGGAACAGTTATTCACTTCAACAACCCCAAGGTTCAAGCTTCCCTCTCTGCTAACACTTTTGCAATCACTGGTCATGCAGAGGCTAAACCGATCACAGAAATGCTTCCAGGCATCTTAAGCCAGCTTGGTGCTGACAGCTTAACAAGTCTCAGGAAGTTAGCTGAACAATTCCCAAGACAAGGTAGGTCTCTTTGGAATCTTATCACTGATTGAAAGAACATAGGAGGTATTAAAAGTTTTAACCCAAATTTAACAGCAGTATGTGTGACAGAGTGATCAAAAGCATATGTGCTTTTATTTATTTACCACTGTTTTGGAAATACAGGAAGGAGGGGGCACTTTCTCAGGCATGCTGTGATTCCAGGTGTACAGATGTGGATGACAAAATACTTGGGAAAGCAAGTTTCCATTTTTACTTTGAAAAACTCAACAGGTTCTTTTTGTGAGGGAATTGATTCAGTTTTCTGTGTTCATATAAAACATTTCTTCTGTGGATAAAGAGGAAGAAGTGTTCTTTATCTTCTACTCTACAATTCCATTTGGAATTAAACCAAGAGTTATTAAAATTAAATAAAATTCAAAAATTTTATTCTTTGCTCTATTTATTATAAAACTGTTGGGGATCACAGTGTGTATTTTTGTTTGTGGTGTAACTGTTACTGTAATTTTACAGGTAAGAAATGGAGTCTGGGGACAGTTCCTGTTTAGACTGTTAGGGCCATTACAAAACCTGGACATGTTGCAGTTGTCTTTATATTGAACTGAAAAATATGTGATCTGTTCTAATGTTTTCAACAAAGAGTTACTTCTGATCAATAATTTTAACTTCTGTATTTCATGTTGAGTTGAATTGAAAATAAAGGGCTTATTTTTTCCTTCTCTACTAATATGCAGTTACCTTTTAAATTTTAGAAAGATGAATCCTCATAAGTGTATTTCTTTGATACAACCTTGGTATCAATAGATACCTCCTGTGCTTTCTTAAGCTAGTACAGAAAGATCAGTGAGAAGTAGCATTTTCTTTTATCTTGTAGGTTCTTGCATTTCTAGATTACTTGCAGCGTGTCTGTGACTGAGATGGGGTTTGATGCAGGACCCTTAATAGGGAAATACTTTTTCCTACCATTGTAGCTTTTTGGTAATTGAATCATATGATATTTTCATCCCTTAGTGGTACCACTTTATTATTGTGTTGAAACACGTTACTTCAGTTAAAGGTTGTCATGTGTGGTTTTTCTGTATCATTTGATCTTCTGCTAGCCCTCCATTAATACCCATAGCACTTGAAAATGGCTCTGCTAATGACTAGTATAAGAATGTTCACAAGTAGACCTTCTGGTCATGCTGTTGATACCCAGCCATTGGTGCATTTGTCACTATTACAGACTATGGAAATGCTTTCTTTTTTCACATATGTTGTTTTTATGTTGTTGTGTGATTGTCCCTAATTCTGTATCATGAGAACTCAGCACCAAACTTCTTTTTATAGTGTTGGATAGTAAAGCACCAAAATCTGAAGATATTGATGAAGAAGATGACGATGTTCCAGGTAGGCACATACACATTTATATATGTGTTTAATGTATAAATACTCATGCATTTAAATATTTAGCTCTTGATGATACCCCTCACGTGCTAAGGGATGCTTCATATACTGGGCAGCATTAAAACATGACTGGATTCCAGGTTTTGAAAAACGTTTATCTTGTGTAAATTGCTTTACTCTTGAGTGAAAATGTGTTAAAATCCCCTTTCAGTGATACTGAAGGTGATGGAAATATCCAAGTAGAGTTTTAGGGCTGCAGAACTACACAATGGGCATAATATTTTGGTTGTCTTTAAGTAAGTGTCTGGGGTGGGGTTTTTTATTTTTTATGTCAGTGTCTGTAGGTCTCTAATATTGCAAATTCTTAATTTGTCAGTGAATAATTGTCTGTCAGTCACCACATTGCGCTGTATCCATCAGTGTGGTGTATTAGCTAAAACAACAGATGGGTGGGCCCAGAGATTCAATTACTCATGCTCTGGCACTGGTGTATTTCATTGTGACCTTGCATAAAATTCAGTTCTCAAATTCTCCTCTTCCTAGAGTACAGCAGTTAATAGGTGCCTAACTTTGGTGCGAATGGCTCAGGACAGCCAGTAGAGCACCTCGGAAAATCAGGTCTTTATCACTTCATGTTAGAACATCCACCCTTCTGAGTGCTCCTGCGTTTTTAGTTCTTTGTGTGTGTTAAACTGTGTTTTCTAAAGCCCTTTGAAATCTGCCCATTAAAAATGGTGTACATGAGTATAGTTAAGAACTACTTGTAATATATACGTTTTCGCTAAATTTACAAAGGTAGTGTTACTGGAATCACTGCATTAAATATCTTCATCTCTTTCAGATCTCGTAGAAAACTTCGATGAAGCATCAAAGAATGAAGCTAACTAAAACATTCATAGTTCTGGAAGCTGGCATGGACTAGATTTAAGAAATCAGCTATGTGGTTCCAAAGTTTTAAAGAAATGGAGAACATCATCTGTTAATAATTCAGTAATATAAATATTTTGTATTTTTATGATGCTGTTTGTTCAGCATTTTCTGTCAGTTGATTTTGCATTTTGCACTTACTCCCAGGATCTACTCTTTTGGTCAAAAAGAAATGTCAGTGCAGTTTGAGGGGTGCGTGCATGTGCGTGTGTGTATGTGTGTGGGTGTACATATAGTGGAGGACAAATTGGAGAACACTTATTTAACCTTTTCCCCCTTTGGAAGTAGAAATAGAATCTACCTTTAGCATTGTTACTTTTGATGATCACGGAATAGTACACAGAAGGTAGTTGAGATGAAAACTTTGTCCGCATTTTGTGACCTGAAGGCATCACACCATTAAAACTTGGGTTTCATTTGCTGTTAACTGTTGTACTTGCAGATGTTTCTCATCCCTGTTGCGCTGTCCACGTGATACTTGCTATCAACCTTGTGTTGATTCCAGATGATACCGAGGACAAGCTGTATTACTGGCCTGTTTGGTGCAGTAACTTCTTAAACAAGAGAACTTGGTCTTGGAAAAGGTGCTTTTTTTTTTTTTCTTTAACCTTTCTGAACTTCTTTTTTTCTTTTTTGTCATCTCTTTAACCTTTTGAGGCAAACTGATGTTTGACTCCTGTGTAAGCTTAGCAGTGTGTTCTCCTCTTGGTTACGTGGAGCATTCCCCATGTCAAAAGGAAAACAAACACCTTGGTTGTCTACTATCAGGTCGCTTCCTAAACTTGGAGGTCTAGTCAGTAACAGTCCAGTGCACCATTTTGCACAGTAACAGATTTTTGCTTGAGTAACTTCAAGCTGTTCTCTTGGCGTGACTGCATTTACTAGCAGCTGATGATCCACTGTCATTCTTATGGCACTAGGAATTAAATGCATCGTGTGAGCAGTGTTTAAGGTGGGAGGAAGAAGTTGTTGACATTTTGCCTTGCCTCCTGCTGGGCAGTTTGTGCAATGACTGGCTCTAAAGGGATCTATTTTTTTTTTGCCTGTAACTTACCTTTGCCTATAACCTACCTCTAGGTTTGGTGTCATCTTTGTAGCAGCTTCTTAAAGACCAGAAATGCTCCTCAGGCATAAGGAGGACATTAGGAGGTACTGTTGGTACAGTGCAGTATTTATGACCTTTCTTTAAAATGCTTAATGTGAACCCGTTTTCTCGGAGGCTCTTTTAAGGTTCTTGATGTAATGTGCTTTACAGTATAGTTAGACATCATTGTAACCTGTGTCAAGGGCAGCTGTGGCTTAACAAAGCCAGTTTTGGGGTTTTTTTTTCCTCTACATCTGTCACTTAACTATGGCTTAATTGGAACATATCAGCTTTTTATGTAGGCTCATATGCTAGAGAACTGTAAATGTACACGGTAAAGACTACACAAGTTCTGGTGACATGATCAGAAACCCACAAAAGCAGAGCTGTAGTGGTTTGTCACCCGAACTCCTCAGTTTATTTTATAGGCTTTATTCGGTTTTTCCTGTTGATTTATATACTACATGGATCTTGCTACAAAATAAAGCAACAGTACAAAAGAGGAAGTGCTCCCTCTTGTGTGTTATCTCCTCTTCCCACTAGTAGTAGCTGAGGGATGATGGATGGGATGGGGCAGCTGTTTCAAACAGCACAACATCCTCACATACGGTGGCTGAGGAAGATAGATGCAGGACTAGGGAGGATCCTGTTAGAGCTTTAGGATATCACACTCCCATATACCCACTCTCCTATTTTCCCTGCCATGTTGAATGAAGCTTTGGTTTGTTGTATGTCTAATCAGCTGCAGATGCATTTGTTCTGTGTTTAAGGTAGAGGTGTCTTCATTAATGTGTGCACAGGCATGCTGAACTGCTTTGCTGCCTCTGCAAGCTCAGAAAGCAAATGGAGGATACTAAGAAACAGGTATTTGCAATGTTCCATTTGCTTAAGGGGCATGAGTAAAGGATGTTTTGAAGTAGCAACTGTACTGAGTTCATGTATAGGACATCCCCTCCCCTAATCAGGCACTGAAAAGTCATGCTCATTGGTTTCTGATAGAGGAAGTATGTCAGAAGTAATTTTGTGAGAGATTGAGAGTAAGCATTGGAAACAGTGATTTGTAAGTTTCTATAGTTGAACTTTCTGATTCCTACAAAATACTCATTTAAGTTTTGCTCTTGGTCATGACAATTTACATGTTAAACCCTCACTTTTTCCTATGTTTGGCAACCAGTAAACTAACTAAATATGCTAGCTGATGTAGTTATATTATCTTCAGTTTTTTCACTGTATCTGGAAACAGTCGACCACTTATGATTTGCTGCTGGAAATACTAGAGCTTATCAATCATTAAACTGATTTTAATTAAAAGTAACCCATCAAGGCTGTTGTGGGCAAAGCTCTTTTTCTTTGTATTTATTCATGGTATAAATCAGTGTTTGTACATACTGATGAAAATGCAAAGTTACTGAAAGTAGTTCTGGGGGGTGTTGGTACAATAAAAACTCCCCGCACAAAGATGAACATTAAAATGTTCTTTGCTTGACTTGAAGCATGATAACTACTATTTCTGAAGCTCTTGAGCTTACTTGCTCACTGTTGACATATAAAAGACACTGGTAAAGATATTAACACACTAAATAACTTGGCTATGATTTAAGAATCTTGGCTAAGATTTAAGGAAGGTAGAGCAGAAAGTAAGTTGAAATATCTCTTGCATCCCTGAGAATCAAAACTGAATTAATGAAAGCCAAAGAATAAACAACTTGGCAGATGTGTAAGATGGCAAATTCTGGTCTTCCTTCACTGGCTGCTGGTGGATTTGTGTTAGGTCCCTGGTTTATAGGTGGGAAATCTGGGGCTGGCTGGCTTCTCCCAGGTGCATGAAAGAGAAAACCCTTGTAGTTGTGGTGCATTTGCTGTGTGGAAAAAAAATGCTCATGTATGATGTTAGTGATGGTGGAGACCTGGTACTGAGTGCTGGAAGGGGATTTATCTTGCAACACTTTAAAAAAAAGTAAGTTTGCAGCTAGGAGTGTTGGTAGGGTGGAAGGAGTTGGTACAGACCCCGTGCTTAACATACAATACAGACCTTGAGGGGGGAGAAAAAGGTGTGGGTTTGTTTTGAGGTTTTTCTTACTTTTTGTTGTGCATTCTTCAAATATTCCTACATAAGAATGATAAGGATGAATTTAGAGCTGCTGCTGAAGTTTTACTGAAATATGCTGATAATTCGCTAGTATTTGTCAACTTCCCATGGGAACCAGGAGTTGCTGTGAACTCTCTCTGCCAGGATCTTCACAATCAGTGTTTTGGATTTGGTGTGTACGAAATGAGCACTGGAGGTCTTGTAGATGACCAAGTAGTGTATTGGTTGACCAATGTATTGCTGTTCAGAGGAAGGACCTGAGGAAGTTAGCCCAGTAAATCTGTGCTAAGTGTAAGAGATGAATTCGTGCCTCTACCGAGGAATATCCCAGGAAGGATCCTCTTGAGTTTCCCTGGAATTGGACTGTGCTGCTCCAGGCAGCAGGGCTATACAGAGGGGCTGAGTAAACTGCCCTGTAGGTGGAGGTGAGTGAATTCTTCCACTGGCAGTTAAGAGTGGCCTTTTATTATTCAAAGACAATGTTGTTGTGTTCAATAAAGTGAACAGACTGTTCTGGAGATCAAGATTACACTAAGGAATTGATCCATGTTTTGTGCTCACGCAAATGAAGTGGTGCAGAACAGAAGCACATCACAACAGCCACAGCAGCTTTACAGAGGTGACAGCAGAAGTACAGGGAATGGTTGTTCATATTCAGCTCTTGGCTTTCCCAAGAAGTTATTACTTATTTTTAATCACCCCCTGCCCCTGTCAAAGACCAGGTTGTAGATGCTGAGGAACTGAATGAATTTATTCAGAACTTGGTTGGCCATAGTGTCAAACAAGGCTTCAGGTAGCCAAGCAGAGCCAAGTGAAGAGGCCTTGGTATGGTTGGGTGGAAGCTTGGGTTGGTATCTAGAGAAGGGTTATAGGGAACTGGGCTGTCATTTGTAACTGGCACTGTGTAGTTGGCAGGAAAACCCACATTTGTACCTCTTCCAGTGCCTTGGTTTGCCTTTATTTCAGGAGTGCTGTAACCAGGCAATTTGTAAATTAACGAACACAGACCCTGAATGCTTCTTGACAGGAAAGAACTACATCTGTGCAAAGAAAAAAAGCTGCTTTACTTCCACATGATAAAAGCTGGTGGGCTGTACGTATTAGGAAGCACCCTCTCACTAAACAACACACCTACAGCTTGCTCAGGTACTATTTCTTTTCTTGGCAACCTGGTATCTGTCATTCTCAAATATAAAGAGAATTAGGCAGCATTTCCTTGAACTTTGCATTGCAGATGGGTTTTGTAACTATGCTAAATTAGTTGCCTCCTTGGAGTTAAAGGGGATTATCTGCTCATTTGAGATCTTGAAGTTGTTATTAATATTTTTAATGAAGTATCAAAGCTAAGGCAAACATTGAAACAAAGGCCTTTTGACCTTTCAGTGAAGGTACGCCCGCTGAATAAAAGGAATTACATGACCTCTTGCCTTTTGTTGCAACATCCTTGGGCAGCTCTAATAACTGCTTATGTCAAAAAGTAATATTAGAAAGTATTTAATGTATTTTTAGATTGTCTAATGCAACTTGGCTGACAAAGAAGAGCCAGTGTCATGTAACCAGCTCTCTACAGACATTGGGAAATGTGCTGCAAACTACGTTCTGGGAATACCAGGTTTGATTTTGAGGCCATGTGTGAAGCTGGAAATTTCCAAGTGATGCAAATTCTTGCCAGAGGTAGGTAAATGAACACTTAAAATCTTAACACACTGTCAGCAGGGTACCAGACCTTCTCACACCAGGAGTGAAGCTCCCTGAAAGGAGCCTTAAAGGTCATCTGCTTCCAACCTCTGGCACAGGGAGAGACACCTTCCACTAGAGCAGGTTGCTCCAAGCCCCTGTGTCCAGCCTGGCCTTGAACACTGCCAGGGATGGGGCAGCCACAGGTGCTCTGGGCAACCTGTGCCAGTGTCTTGCCATTCTAGGCCATCTAGAGCTTCTTCCTAATGTCTAATCTAAATTTACTGTCTTGTAGCTTAAAGCCATTCCTCCTTGTGCTGTCACTGCTTGCTATTGTCAGAAGGTCCTCTCCAGGTTTCTTGCTAGCCCCTTTAGGTTCTGGAAGCTGCTGTAAGGTCTCCCTGAAGCCTTCTTCAGGCTGAACAACCCCAACTTTCTCAGCCTGTCTCCATAGGAGATAGTGCAATTTGCAGTTTGATTTTGACCTTTTCAGTTGTGAAATGAGGGTTCAGTACAGCTCACTATGCCTTGTAAGGCATGCACACTGCTGCAGCATGTGACCCCAGCATGCCAGTACCACAGCCAGCCTCTGACCCAGGCACGCTGCTGCTGCACAGCACCCAAATGCAGCCTTTCCCCATCAGCCCATTTTGTGTGTGTCTCTTCAGATGAACAGTGATTTTTGAGGCAATCTCAAGGTTTTGATTGATGCTGTGGGTCCTTGTTCACTGAAAATCGCTATTTAAGTTATTTAGTGAGATCTTTAATGAGGAATTTCCATTTTTGTGACAAGACCTGGTTTCAAAGGGTTTCTGACACATGCTGTTTAATTGAAAATAGCTGTAACTTGCTTACAGCGTTTTTAATCTCCAGGGAGTAATGATGCAACTAAAGTTCTGTTCATTTTGAAAGGCTTGTTCTATTGCTGGAGACTGGTCTGCTCTGTGTGATTGGCAGTTGTCTTAGTGATGGTTTGCATTTTTGCATGTTTCTGAAAGAAAGGAAATAGGGCCTCCTAATGTCTTACTTTGAATAAGGGTTTCTTCCCATTTTAAGTTTCCCACAGCCTCTTTTCCTCAGCTAGACTGAAAGACACCAGGTTTTCCTATAATCTGCTGCTGGATATTGGGGTATTTTGCTGAGATTTCTATTCTGACATGAAAGTGGTGCCAGTCTTCTGAAATACATAGAATGTGTTACATCTTCTAGGCTTTTCTGTATCACATTTCTCTCAGCCACATGATTTCTGTGTTGTAAATTATTAACTTTTGAACATAGGGCTATTACTACCTCTCTCTCTTCTGCTGCCCTTTGAGTTGCAGCGTTGCTTTCATTGGCAGTGGGCACTGAGAAATCATGTTGGCCACTTCCAGCCCTGAAATTGTAGTAGTTTATCCCATTACATGGTGATTTTTTCCAGCTCATTTCTCCTGAGAACCTTGAAATGGCTTTTCCATAAGACTAGTCCATCCGCTCTTTTAAAGGCTATAGTCAAATTTGAAGGGATAATCCAGCTATTGTTTCTAGTGGTGTGTGTGTGCTGTCCTGATGGTTTTGTTAAATTATAGAGGATTTTTATGGTGCAAGTCTGTGTCACTGAGAACTCGGTGATTTCTTTGAGCAGGATTGCATGTTCTTTCGGAACAAGCTGACACACATCATTAGCATCTTCACTGATGGAAACTGTCCATGAAAAAGCATATATTTCCTCTGTTTTTAATCTGCACAGCTCTCCATGAGTTTGCAGTAAGCTGTATTAAGGGGCTTAGATGTCTTATACCGACATTTCCTCAGTGGCTCACAGTAACATCATCAGGAATGTGTACCAGGTGCGTTTTCCTTTGTGACCAACAGCTTTGCCTTCCTTTCTTTATAGCTGAGGTGAGTATTGTCTGAGATACAGATCTGTTCAGTTTGAGCTTCCTGCCACTGCAGTATGCTAATACTTTCCAACTGCTTGGGCCCTGTGTTTGTTACGGTTTGGGATGGTCAGAATATGTCAGAAAAGAACAAATGAACCAGTAGCTATTCAGAACAAGACTTCACTTGCATTGAATAAGCATGGTGAGAAATTCTTTGTGTTAGCTTCTCTTCTGAGATATTAATCTGTGTTAAAATTTGCATGAGATGTGCCTTGGTTTAATTTTTCCCCTTCTGTGTTAAATCTCAGATGAGCCAAGATAAGAGAGAGGTGATTGAATGCTTGTCCTCAATTGTTCTTACCCTCAGAAGCAGTCCCATGAAAAAGGCTGTGGGAAGTATTACATGCATTGTCTCCTTGCACAATAAAACAAGCTTTAACAGTTGTTGCTACCATCTTTAAGTAATCCTCTTAAAGCAAAAATACTTGTAGGTTTTATACGCAGAATATCTGTAGTTTGGTAAAAGCAACATACAGGAGAGATGTCAAAAGATACCAAGGACTTTTTTCCTTTCCCTTTTCCATCAAGAAAGCAGCTTCCTGCTGTGTGTATTATGATTTACTGTGCCCTGTTCTATTGGCTAATACTGTGTTTAATCCTATATGGTAGTCAGAACGGTTTTGCAAGGGATCTGGCAGTTTGAAATTGCCA